AGAAATTCTATGGCACCACATGTGGCACCATATTATGGTGCCACAACATGATGTGACACATTATAATTGGTGCCACAACTATCACACATCATGTTGTGGCACCAATCATAATAATGTGCCACATCATGTTGTGACACCATAATACGGTGCCACATGTGGTGCCATAGAATTTCTGAGTAACAGATGCCATATTTAATAATTCACTTTTATTAATATGTGTTAAAATTATCACAATTCTTTATTTTATGGGACAGACGGGAGTAATATTATTACGGAAGAGATGGAATGTGATTGACGATATAATATTTTTTTTTTACCCCAATACAAAGATACATTAAGTTTTTCACACCCCCATTAACAATCTAACTTTTTCATCCCAGGAAGTGCGAAGGTTATGCAAATGGACCGCATAACTGTCGCATATCAATTGTATAACTGTCGCATATTCATTAGAGATGTTAAACGGGCTAATCCTAATGGTTTCGGGCTAGTCCTAGCGGGTTTCGGGCTAAACGGTCCGGGCCTAAAAAGCTCGGATTTAAACGGGCTACCAATAAAAGGACCTAACTCTAATCCTAGCGGGTTTCGGGCTAAACGAGCTATGCGGGCTATAAAAATAATAGTAATATAATAATAATAATAATAATAATAATAATAATAATAATAATAATAATAATAATAATAATAATAATAATAATAATAATAATAATAATAATAATGTATCAAAAAATCAAAAATATAAATAAACAATTAATTAAAAATTACAACGACTAATTAACGATCGTTTTCAACGGCTATTTGGTATTTATCCTCTATATATACAATTACACATCATATATGAACACACACTACAAACTCTTAAATAACATATTTTTTTTTTCAAAAGAAAAAATATTCGAATTATTACTTACAATTACCATTTTACTACTTATTTTGTATGCTTTAGAAATTTTTACGATATTATATCATTATAAATTTTATCACTATGTTTCATGTGTTAGGTCTGTGTCTCATGTATTTCCTATTAGTCGTTCTGATTGACTTAAATATTTTGGTGTGGAGTACGATAAGAATATTGTTAATAATTATCTTTCAAAATCATTATAATCCGTTACAACTCATACTTACATGTAAAGTGGAATAACAAAACCACAATGAATCTAAGAGCATATTACTTGCTGCAAACATTTGCAACGTCCAACTCAAGTTAAACGGGCCAGCCCTAGCGGGTTTCGGGTTAGTCCGTTCGCTTTAAACGGTCCGGACCTAAAAAGCCCTGATTTAAACGGGCTATCAATAAAAAGCCCTAACCCTGTTTTTTTCCAGGCTAAACGGGTCGGCTCGTCGGGCCAAGGACCATTTAACATCTCTAATATTCATCGCGCAATGTCTTTGCATTTTATCTTTTTCCACCCCAGAAAATGCAAAGGGATATGCAAATGCCTTTTCACTTTTTTTCTTTCGCACAATGTCATCACACAACTGTCGCATATTCATCGTACAATGTCTTTCGGACATTCTACGGTGAAAAAATTAATTTATCTACAAACATGTGAAAAACTTAATACATTTTCATAATGGGGGTTGAAAAAGACTATTTTCACTAAATTATAAGGGTTGCCTGCCCCCACTCGGCAGCCATGAATGGACAGACTACTGCGTGGGCCCAATTTCGAAGGATGTTAAATTTTCATACTACAAATCCTCCAAATATTTTTATATTTAATAAAGTTGCATTAAATCGAAGCTGAAATTTCTACTGATTCGGCACCTGCTGCTGCAAGAAAAGAATCCCTTCAACGATTTTGCTCCTAATCTATTCACTTTCTCTCTCCATTTTCCTATATCACTCTCTTCTTCCTCCCATTTTGGGGCCTATATCTCTACAATTTTCTATGTTTTTTTTTTTTTTTTTTT